GTGATTTTCTGCTCAGTTCAGGGTAAACATTAATCTGCAATCAATGGCAGACTCGAATTTTGGGTAATTTGGCAATATTTCTTGCAGGCCAACTTCTTAAGTCCCACTGCCTCTGTCACCGCAAGATTTCTATTTCCGAGAGCCAAAAGCTTGCGAGTGCAGAGCTGCGGAGAGGTGTGGGGCGTAAGCCCAAAAACCTACATATTTTTCTTCGGTCCCCAAAATCCAGTTGAGATAAGGAATTTACGATCCAGTTGGGAGTAGGCAGCGGGTAACATCAGCAGCTTCATCATCATTTAAATCCGTCAAAGGGAAATCAATCGAGCTCCCTATGATGACCCCGTCGAGCTCGTGCCTAACCTCTCTTGTGTTAACCCCATCGAGCTCGTGCTTAACCTCTTAATGGTGTAAATCGGCAAGAAGAAATGACCTGCTTTAGAAAAGGTTATACTCGAAGGAAAACCTGATCGAATTACATTTTTTTTTGATTTTTTTCTTAATTTTTATTAGTTAAAAGATCAAGTCGAAATTAATGAAGGCATAATCTAAAAGCAAAACCAGTGAGAAAATCAAAATATGTGAGAGAATGGTGATGTAAAACAATAATATGACAAGAAAAGATCAACGAATAATGAAGAAAATAATGAAGAAAAAGAATAAGTAACCAAATGGGCAAACTGAAAAAAAAAATAATAAAATTATTTTGGCGAAAATAAAAGTGGTGTGTTGCTTGCGTAACCAAAGAAAAAAAACAAACATAAAACCTAGTTAACGTACGCAAGACAACAAACAAAAAGAACGAAAAGCAAAACAAATTAAGACAAAAAGAAGGTGTAATATGCAGAAAAAAAATTAAAAGTGATCTAACAGTGTATATGTAGGTTTACATAACCCCTCCCCGCAGAATCTTCGAAAGCGCTTTCGACCGACTGGAAATGGAGCGGTAAGTTTACCCAAACCTGTCTTGTTTTTGGATCAACACATGCAAAAAGTAAAGTTAAAGCCAATTAAAAGAAATTTTGTGCCAAAACTGCGATGATTAGAAAAAAACTAGCAGAAAACACAATAAAAGAGAATTAATATTGCTAACGTAAACCACTTCTGTTCGCGCCTGAACAAAAATAATGCCCGAATTTAAATATACCCTATTTTTATTATACTATTAACTATATTATTATTATCATACCTTAAAAGAACCTTTCATATTATCTTCCCACAGCGCCATTCTCACGAGTATTCTCACTAAGCTAGATTTTTCTTTGAAATTAAATAAAATTAAACCTTTACATGCCTAGATTAAAATATGGTTTACTAAAGCTATTAGAAACTAAATATATTCAGACTCACATGGAGTGTAGTTATTACTATTGTTTTTAAATAAAATGCAGATCGGAAATATGGTAGGGTATTGAGAAACCGACTTGAACAAGGGATCATAATAAAAAAAAATATTTTTATTAACTGGAGAATATGATCATGGTTGGGAGGGCTATTACACGTTGCTGTATCAACAACAACAGCAGCAACATTCAAGTCAACATGTGTTAGTGTTTTTGTTTTCTATTGTCGATCGTTTGGTTACCTTTTCTTTTCTTATTTTATCTTAATTAGAGTTTGCGAATCCCTTTTCAATCCCGATGCACGCGAGATCAAATAAATTTATGTATGCAAAGCCAGAAACTGCGAGAAGTACATGTAGAGAAAAACCCTCCCATTGTCCCGAATGAGCAGAGCCGGTAGCAACGCGTGCTGTGCTGCCTCGTAGCGACCATCAGCTGGCCACCATAGGATACCCTGGTATTTTATTTAACCGTGATATGCTACAAAACCCTTGGCACTATGGATAGTAATTGTAGTATTAACAAAAATAACTCCCTCTCACACACCTGCAACTTGAACCTGTTTTGTGGGCCGAAGGGTCAACGACATGCAATGGCTGAATTATCAGATGATTTTTGTACGGTTTGTCTAGGATATTTAACTAAGAATAAGACTGTTAAGGAGCAACTATTAGGAAATAAGACTGTTAAGGAGCAACTGGTAGGAGAAGAAACTGTTAAGAAGCGACTGTATGGAAATAAAACTTTTAAGCAGCAAATGTTAGGAAAACAAACTGAAAATCTGACAAAGAGCGTTTTAGGAGAAACGTTTGTGAGGAGCTAAGCATCAACGTAGCTCATGATCAATTACCGGATTATAGCTGTGGTAATGACTACGGGACCAAATGCAGGTTTGTCCAAATGATTAATGCGTTATACGGTACTGCAAAAATACCAGAAAATACACCATATGCGAAATGAAAATTAACATAGAAAAATCGAAGCCGTTCAGTTGTTTACCTAGGCTGCTGTCATATAGTGAAAAGGATCAGCTCCAAAAATTGTTAGACGAAACCTAGATAAAGGTATTATAAGAAATAGCGACTCGGAATATGCTTCCCCGATCGAGTTGGTAAAGAAAAAAATTGGAGATCTAGACTATCGCAAGCTAAATAAAGTTCTAATAAAAGACAACTATCCTCTGCCTTTAATAGATGACGTCTTGGACAAGCTATGCAATAAAAGTGTGTTTTCAAAGCTCGATCTAAAAAATATATATCTCCACGTATTCGTATTCGATAAAGCACACGTCTTTTGTGACTCCTTTAGGACAGATTTAATTTTTAAGGAATAAAAAATGCTTCAGCCATTTTTCAACGCTTTGTAAACAAGATTTTTATTCGATTTGATTAGAGAAAATAAGGTTATTGTATATGGATGACATGAAGGTGGCTAGCACAGATATAGAGGAACATTTAAATACATTAGGTTAGAGCTGCGGCTGGATATATGTGAGTTTCTGCAGTCAAGCATATGATATTCAGGATTCTTCATCACTAAAGAAGGAATTAGAGCAGATGATATGGGTCTTGGTGCTATTAAAAACTTTCCGATTCCAGGAAAATTACACAACGTTTAAAGCATTTTGTGTTTATGCTCATATTTCAGACGCTTTATAAAAGATTTCTCTGTTTTAGCCAAGCCACTTTACAATATGTTAAGGAAAGATAAGGATTTCACGTTTAAAGAGAAAGAGTTTAATTGTTTTTTAAATCTTAAAAAAAAACTAATTGAGTCCACTGTCTTGGCTATTTATGATCACAAAGACGATGTAGAGATACATTGCGATGCAAGCTCTTTAGGTTTCGGCGCAATTTAAATGCAAAAACAAAGGATGATGGAAAACTTCATCTTGTTTTTTGTTTCTCAGCTTTGAGCTAGAAACATTGGCTATCATATACGCCCTTTGCAGATTTCGAATTTACCTTCATGGAAGGGATTTTAATATAATAACCGATTGTAGTTCTTTAACCCTCAATTTAAATAGGGTCGACCTAAACCCTAGAATTTCTCGGTGGGCACTCGAACTTCAAAATTTTGATTACGAAGTAGTTCACCGATCGGGAAATAAAATGCAGCACAGAGATGCTCAAAGTAGGTGTATATTGTAAATTGACGGGTTAGGCCAATAGTTTTGAAGATAGTACAGTTTAATCTGTCAATCAAAGAATTCAAACATTTTATAAGTTCGAGACCAAATAGAGAAAAATCAACTTAAAATGTTTGAAATGAGAAATGGGGTGGTGTACAGAAAATCGAACGAAGACAGATTATTATTTTGTGTCCCTGAAGAAATGGAGAATCATATTTTACATAAATACCACAATGAACTTGGACACATTGGCAGGGATAAAATGATAGACAGTATTTTAAAAACGTATTGGCATAATAAAATGAAAGAGAAGTGCAGAAATCGCATTGAAAATTTCCTAAAATGTGTTGCATTTGCTCCAAAAACGGGGAAATCAGAAAGTTTTCTACATAGTATTCCAAAGGGGATAAGCTATTCTAGTTACTGCATATCGATCAGTGGATAAAGAAAGAGTAAACAAACACATCTTTCTGATTGTGGACGGGTTTATTAAGTTCGTAAGACTGTACACAACTAAGACGACAAATACAAAAGGAGTTTTTAGTGCATTAAGCGACTACTTCAGGGCTTATAGAACACCGAAGTCGATTGTGTCAGACGGAGGAAGTGGCTTTACCTCTAATAATTTTGAACAATTTTTGTCTCAGAGGAACATAAAGCACTTGAAAATTGCAACAGGGTCTCCACAAGCTAACGGACATGTGAAATGTATAAACAGGAGCACTGGGCCTATGATTGCAAAACTTACAGAGCCAGAAAACGGCGCACATTAGGACCCAGTAATTTGGTGTTCAACAGAAAGGAGAGATCTTAGATGAGCTTAGAGAAAAAGTTGAAAAAAAGATACAATTGTGTAACGAGCACGGCAATGTGTGCGGCTATATGGCAGCGTACTCTGCCTATAGGGTCGACTGGGTCAGGGAAAATGGGAGTGAGGTTTTGCTACCTAGAGAACCGCGCCGTCACTATTGACTAACTAAACCAAAACCCAAAGAATCTAATTTTATAGTAAGTATAAGGAATTGTAGATGTCATTTAATTCCTTTTTAAAACACACCCACCCTTGTATAGGCTCGCTTTGAGTATGTGGCCAATGCCCTTATTAATGACTCACAGTTACATCAGGTGTCCCAATTCGCCAAAATTTACTTCATATTATACTTCATTCATAAAAGCGTACAAAAAGACTTTAGGTTAGCTTTCCCATGGCAACTGCTTAAGAGTCACTTAAAGTTAACTTACCAAGTTAACCATATAATGGGTATAATTGACATCATTTATGTTCTTCATTCAAGAATTTAGGTTAGCAATTAAGTTTTATCAAAAATAAGGTAATATTTAACCAAAATCGTACGGGTGTCGAAACTTGAATCTTGCGATTATATCAGGTTGTCAAATATCTTTCTTCCGCCTTTTTTTTGGTTTTTGAATTTGGCAGCTACATATCGGTAGGTCTTGACATAACCCACAAAACGACGATATTCATAACAAGTTTGGTTATTGCGTTGAAAAGTTATACATGTGTAAACATGGAGTTCGTTAACGCCAAAATTCGCGCTGTATTAAAGTTTTTCTTCGTAAAAGGTGAATCCGCTAGAGAAAGATTCCGTGAGATTAATGGTGTTTTAGGGGATGCTACTCTATCACTTCGAATCGCGGAAGAATGGTTTCGACTATTCAGTGCCGGTGAAAACGACACCATGGATAAGCCAGCCGGCGGAAGAGCTGTGACGACAAATACCGATCAAATTATGGAAAACATCGAGCTAGACCGGCATGTGACATCTCGTGATATCGCTGAGGAGATAGGAGTTAATCCCAGATCGTCTTTGACTTCCAAAGTAAACGGTCGTGTTTTTTTCTGCGCTCCGATTTTGTATTTTTGTTCCGTTTATTCCAATCGGTGGGTTTTATCAAAACAATTTTAATTTTCTTACAGTTAATTCTAAAATTAAATTCCGTTCGATTCGCGAGTGAACTATAAATCTTTGTGCACTTGTGTAATAACACTAAAAAATTGTTTTAATTTCGTAACTCTGTTCTTTGTTTTCTTTTCTTGTAATCTTGCCGTTTCTCTTTTGTGCGTTGACCGTCGTAAATCGTAGTGCTGTTTTTAGTGTTGCTTTTGAATGCACTTTAACTATTTACTCTCCCGCTCTCTCGCTCTCCTTGCTTTGAAACTTCTAAGCGTGCAGTTTCTGCGCTCTTGGTGTACTTATAACTGCTCGCTTATAAATTTCAATTCGTTTTCTTGGTACAGTGGTTCCAATAGATAATAATGAATAATAATAATTTAGTCTGCTTCTGCAAAAAATGCAGCCTCGTAATAAAGGCTGACCAGTCTAATATGACTTGCTGGCTGTGTGAAAATATGGTGCACACCAAGTGCGCCGGTTTTACTGGCCGGACAAGTGATGACCTTTCAAAGGGGCCCAATTTGCAGTTTTGTTGTGATGCTTGTGTTGAAGTTGCGAACGAGATGAAATCGTTCATGCGCCAAACTAAAGGCGGCCTGATGGGGTTGATTAGCTGTTTCGGGGTTGCTAGAGATAGTTTTCGCCGAGCTGATGATCTCCTCTCTGCGCTGGATTCGCAGTTTAATAGTCGTAAGCTAATAGAAGAGTCCCCTTAGCGAAAAAAGGCCGCTGGTGGTAAGCAGCAAAAGGGGAACACCCCGCAACCGAAAAGAAAAGAACAACAGAGCATTCCGGCGGATAAGCAGCTGATTGCAGCAAACCCCCAAATGTTGCTGAGATCAGCAGCTAAAAAAGATTCGGTATCCGAACAATCCGCAAGCAGGTCCTTCTAAGAATTCCGATTTGTCCGTAGTGGATTCACAATTAGTGGATCCACCTATCTCTTAGAATGTAGCATCACCACCACAAGGGACTACTAAATCCGGACAACCGGCTCAAGCTGGTTTTGCAGAAACAATGTCTGCTCCACCAAAATCCCTTTTTTTGTACAAGAGTTCGAGGCTAAGATAAAGAAGAAGGGGCCCGTCCGAGTAAAACTTCCTACTCGTGGCCAAACCAGTGTACCAATTTCATAAAACTAACTTCTAACCTCCTTCTTTCCTATCAGAAGCAAGAGGTTTGCGTTGCAAGCTCACTAAATTGTATTCCGATATCCTTTCCTTTGCATCTCATATTATTATGTTTACAGAACCTGGTTAAAGCCGGAGATCTTTAGCTCTGAAGTTTTTCCAGGTAAGTACGCAATATACAGGTATGACCGTCCCTCTAGACATTCAGACATTCGTGGACACCGTTCTGGACTTCGCCCAATTCGTGCTGGTGTCCCGCAGGGAAGCGTCCTTGGTCCGGTCCTGTATACAATTTACACTTCGGATCTTCCAAGCCCAGCTGCACGTGGTACACTCCTGGCCACATATGCAGATGAGACTGCATTTCTTGCAGCTGGTCTGCGTCCCGACGTGTCCAGACATTCTTAGACGAATTTGAGTGCTGGGCCTCTCGATGGAACATTGCGCTTAATGTTTACAGAACGCAACATGCCACTTTTGCTCTCCGCCCTGGCCGTTCGCGTAGCCTTTACATTGATGGGAATAGGCTCAAGCACGAAATAAGGTGACGTACCTCGGAGTTATTTTAGACCGTCGCCTTTGTTGGAAGGGACAAATTGTTCGAGTTTGTGGATCAGCAAGAACAAAACTTGACAAAATGGACTGGCTCCTTTGTCCAGGCAGCGGCCTATCCCTTGAAGCTAAGGTGCCGCTTTTTAAGGTCATTGTCCTTCCAACTTTAAACTGGGGAATCACTTGCTGGGGCACGGCCTGTGATTCGTCACTAAAAAGGGTGCAAACATGCATTACAAAGGCTCTCAGGAGGATGCTAGGGGTGAAGTGGCAGCATTATGTAGAAAACCGAGTTATGTTCAAGGACACGGGAGTGCCAACGGTAACGGAGTCGATTTGCGAATCCTCAAGTCGATACCGGGAACGTTTGCTCACACATGAAAACTGTCTGGCAAGACATCTTGCAACACCACTGGATCGACGGCGTCTCCGCAGACGACACCCGGCAGACTTATGGATTCTCGGCCGTGACAGACACGGTCGTCTTCTGTAATAACACATCTTAATTAACTTTTAACCGGCTATGACCACACCTGATTTGCTCAAGAATGGAACACCCGTTACCCGCTTTTTTTGAGATCTTTAGAAATAATTCGTCAATACACGAAAACAAGGTCCATCCTTGTGTGGTGTGTTCAACAAACTATAATAAAAAACAAGAGAAAACGCTATAGTCGAGTGCCTCGACTATTAGATACCCGTTACTCAGCTAAAAAAGTTCAAATTATCAATTTGAATTCGGCGATCTCTTAGAGCTGGCAGCTTTACAGCACGAGCATCAGCACCAGCGCTGCTTTAGCGCAGGCAGCTTTTGTCCTGCACCAGCAGCTGTGTTTATGTTTATGTTTTTGAGTGCAATAAATTGACTAGGAATATTGAACATACATACTTATATTGGCTAAACACATACATTCTTAAATAGTATTATGTACATTAAAGTCTAAATGTTTGCACAACACGAGTAACGGGTATAGCGAATAGCTTTCTTTAAAAGGAGTTATCTTTGCCAGGCAATTGCAACTGTGTACAATGTAAATACATACATATGTATATGCTTACATACATACACACATACGCCAATGTTTGACTCTGACCTCCAATTTGGCTAACTTGATTTGATTTGCATAGTTCTTGGGATATAGTTCGGTATTGACAAATTAAAACCATCGCAATTTCCTTTAATAGAAATCCTTATCGAGAATTAACATTAACTCTGTTGAGCACCTTGGCCAGCTGTTCCAAAGTCATCCGTTAGATGGCGCCATGAAAGGCGGAAATGTAGGCGCTAGCCAGGCTTAAGCGTTTAATAGGTTTTTGGGCGTTAGAGTGGGTGTGGCAAACTTTTATTAGGCAAATCGATAGGTATTGACGAAACAAATACATATCAATTAAAATTTTCATAATAGCATCAAAACTGTGGCCACAGCTTGTGGCTTGTGGGCGTCAGAGGGGGCGTGGCACCATTTTGAAACAAACTTGCGCTGCGTAGGAACTCCTAAAATCTACATGCAAAATGCCAATCCTCTAGCTTTTATAGTTTCCGAGATCTCATACGGACAGACAGACGGACAGACGGAGAGACTGACAGACTGACATAGCTAGATCGACTCGGCTGGTGATCCTGAACAAGAATATATATACTTTATAGGGTCGGAAACGCTTCCTTCTACCTGTTACATACTTTTGAACGAATACAATATACCCTTTTACTCTACGAGTAACGGGTATAAATACAGAAACCTGGTTAAACCCGGAGATCTTTAGCTCCGAAGTGTTTCAGGTAAGTACACAATACTAGACGGGGAGGTGGAGTCTTAATTGGAGTTGATTCAAACCTCCCGTCTGAGAAGTTATTTTTTGATGAATTCAATACCATTGAATTTATTTGTGTAAAATTATCGCTTCCTGGTAGCTCTATATACATAACTTGCTCATATATGCCGCCGTTGTCTGAACTTCCTGATTATTTAAATCACCTTTCCGTTATTAAGTCAGTTGCAAATAAGCTTTCCGATAGGAATCAGATGGTAGTTCTAGGTGATTTTAATATACCTGGAGTTACCTGGTCCATTGAGGATGGATCGAATGTCTTACTACATATAGCACAGCATGATTTTATTGACGGCCTGCTTGACATATCTCTATCTCAAGTAAACCATGTCCGAAATTCATTAGGTCGCCTACTTGATTTGTGTTTTGTATCAAATCCCGAAGGTGTGTTTCTGTCCAGAGTAGCACCACTCACGCAACCTGAAGATCCATATCACCCAACAATCGAACTTTCATTTGATACGGGTAGAGTTATAGAAGAAAAATCAGAAAAGTCATCCAAACGAATACATTGTTTTCGCAAGGCAGACTTTCTGAGGCTAAATAATTTTATTTCTGGCTTTAATTGGTCTGATCTTTACTTATGCAATAATATGTCCGATGCAGTTAATGTTTTTTACACTGCAATAAACTCATTTTTTAATTCCTGTGTTCCGTGGTACTATCCGTCAATTTCCAATAAATCACCTTGGTTTAGCAAAGAGTTGACACACTTAAGAAATGTAAAGTCCAGACATTTTAGGAAATATAAAAATACCGGTTCTCAATCTGTTTTTACTAGATATGTAAGTGCTCGGTCAAGATTTACCGTGCTTAATTCTCAGTGTTATAATAGTTACATAAACCGTTGTAAGGTCCAGTTCTCTCAGGACCCGAAACAGTTTTATAATTTTGTTAACACCAAGCGTAAATCTAATTCTTTTCTTTCCTCGCTGTCGTTCGAAAACATGACGGCAACCACACATCAGGCAATAGCCGATTTATTTGCCCAATTTTTTCAAACGACTTACTCTACTTTAGATTATTCATCACAGCCTTATTCTTACACCATGTCCAAGTCAAACCTCATATTCTGTCCCACTTTAACAGAAAGCTCTCTTCTTTTGGATCTTCTTCGTATTAAGCCTGTTTATTCGCCAGGGCCCGATGGTATTCCTGGGTGCGTGATTAGGTATTGCGCTAAGGCCCTGTGCAAACCTCTTCACAAGTTGTTTACCTTATCTCTAGAAACTTCCCAATTCCCAAATATTTGGAAGGAATCATTTGTTATTCCTCTTTTCAAAAAAAGGTAACAAGTTAGAAGCCAGTAACTACAGAGATATTTCTAAGTTGTAAGCTTTTTCTGAGCTTTTTGAAAAAATTATTACTCCTCATTTGCAGCACCTTTGTAGATCAATTATTTCTCCGTGTCAACACGGATTTATAAAACGTAGATCCACAATCACAAACCTTCTAGAGCTCACTACATTTGTGATAAAGGGCTTCAATAGTAGTTTTCAAACAGACGTCATTTACACTGACTTTAGTTAAGCATTTGACTCTGTAAATCACTTACTTCTTGTTCAAAAACTTGACCTGTTAGGTTTTCCAGTTGATCTGCTTAAATGGATTTCAAGTCATCTGAATGGCAGGTCACAAAGGGTCCTTTTTAAAAATTCAATTTCTAAAATTCTCCGTGTTACCCTCGGTGTCCCACAAGGGAGCCATCTGGGTCCTTATTTTTTACATTATTTATTAACGATCAATTATAAGTCATTCTCGCGTACTTATGTTCGCATATGATGTTAAGTTATACCTGCAGTATAAGGATATTTGCTGCCATTTAGACTTGCAATCTGATCTAGATAATTTTCAAAACTGGTGCCGAGATAATTTACTAAATTTAAACGGCTCCAAGTGCAAGCTGATGACTTTTTATCGGGCCAATCCGATATACGCGACTTACACTTTAAGTGGCAGCTCTTTGGATAGAATAACTCTTGTAAACGATCTTGGCGTTCTCTTGGACCCTAAACTAAAATTTTCTAATCACATTTCGTCCATGGTGAATAAGGCCAGAGGAGTGCTTGGATTTATTAAAAGGTGGTCAAAAGAATTCGATGACCCTTATTTGACTAAAACTTTATTTATTTCTCTAGTCCGTCCGATTCTGGAGTATGGGTCCCCCGTCCCCCCCCGTCCACAGTACGGAATACATATTGGTCGTATTGAATCTGTACAAAAAAAATGTCCTTCTTTTTGCTTTAAGGCGCCTAAACTGGGATGCAAGTCTTAACTTCCTTCTTATTCTAGTAGACTTCTGTTGATTAATTTACCCTCCCTAGCCAACCGTAGAACGATGCTTGGTACTATCTTTATTTATAACCTTATACATGGTGATATTGACTGCCCCGACTTGATAAGTCGGCTAAACTTTTCTGTGCCAAGTAGATTAACTAGAAATTCTATTCCCCTAATTTTAAATCATTGTAGATCTAACTATGCCTTGCATAAGCCTTTCAGAGTATTATGTTCTGATTATAATAGACTTTTTCCTGTAATCTCAAATCTTGACTCTCTACCGCTCCTAAAACGATTAATACTTGCTTCATTGGCACAAAATTGATCTTTCTATTACTTTTTTCTCGGACATTTACCTATATTTCCTTATCCTCGGTCGGTTGGGCGGGTAAGTCGGCCGTGGGACTCCGCGCGAAAAAAAAAAAATCACCAAACCGTTTTAAACCATCTGCAGAAGGCTGGACACAAAAAAGCTAGATGTTTGGGTGCCGCATGATTTGACGCAAAAAAACCTTTTGGACAGAATCAAGGCCTGCGATATGCTTCTGAAACGGAATGAACTCGACCCCTTTTGGAGGCGGATGGTGACTGGCGGCGAAAAATGGATCACATACGACAACATCAAGAGAAAACGGTCGTGGTTGAAGGCCGGTGCCAAAACAGTGGCCAAGTCGGTTTTGACGGCCAGGAAAGTTTTACTCTGTATTTGGTGGGATTGGAAGGGAATCACACACTATGAGCTGCTCCCATATGGCCTGACACTTAATTCTACCATATACTGCGAACAACTGGACCGCTTGAAGCTGCCGATCGACCAGAAGCGACCAGAATTGGCCAACAGAAAGAGTGTAGTGCTTCACCTGGAAAACGCCAGACCACTTTGATGACTCGTCAGAAGCTACGGGAGCTCGGATGGGAGATTTTATCGCATAGCCCGGACATAGCGCCAAGTGACTACCACCTGTTCCTGTTCATGGCGAATGCCCTTACTGGTGTAAAGTTGGGCTCAAAAAAGGGTTGTGAAAAGTGGCTGTCAGAGTTTTTCGCAAATAAGGAGGGAAGTTTCTACGAGGAAGGTATTATGAAGTTGCCGTCTAAATGGGAACACATTATCGAACAAAACGTAAATTCAGTGTTTCAATTTTTATAAAGCATTGAATAAAGAACAAAAAAGCCGAAGGGAGTTATTTGACACCTAATATAATTTGGCTCAGATTGATGTTAACATACGGTAGGCTATGCCGTACTTACAACACGAATACTTTAAATTTGTTTCCAACGCAGTCGACAGGCCTGTGGACGGTGTGTGTAAATGAGGATGTGTGTTAACAGTCAATCTAAGGCCAAATATACATGCTGTACCCGTTTAATATGCTTATTGTCTACAAAATTTTAATCTATTTTAGATACTACAAAAATGATGCAACATTCAGATCGACTGCCGAGATCGGGTGGTGAATCCTTAGCTGAGTGGCGGAAGATTCAACAGCTAGACCGAGGGATAGTGCAGGGAATCCGGGGTGCCTGCTTATCCGCGAAGACGCTCTTGTAGGACATGGTGATGGCTAACCTACGGTCCGGGGTTAGGCTACGCACTAATGATCAGGAGAATCTACCGTACAACACGTATATCGATCTATGAACTACAAACTACTCACTCGAAAAGCCGCTATAAATCTTAAAAATTGTTTTTCTCTTAGCTGACTGTAAAATATACTGTTAAGGCATGGCTAAACATCATCCTGATTTGATTTTCTGTCGCAAGCAACCTGGCGTAGCCATTGGACGCCTGTGCGAGAAAGACGATGGAAAGTGCGTGATCTGCGACTCCTACGTGCGCCCCTGCACCCTGGTCCGCATCTGTGACGAGTGCAACTACGGATCCTACCAGGGAAGGTGCGTCATCTGCGGAGGTCCCGGTGTTTCAGATGCCTATTACAGTTCCAAGACTGACCTGTTCTACGAACTGGGTTCAAACAGAACTATTGATGCGCTCTCCACTACCTCATACATTTCTAATAAATTTTTTATTGTAGTTTAATACATAAACAGAAGGTTTTGATAAATGAAACATAATAACTAACGGGTCCAGGCTGGGTTTATTTAAGTTATTTTGTTAACCTAGGTTTTCCTTACGTCTTACAGCGGTTGGAAAGCTTGGCACAGAAATTCACTTTATACGGCTGCAAGCGACTAGGCTGTGAAGTGTGGATCTTAATTATTCTGATGCCCTGGAAAACCGTATGCGGCTCGGCTCGAGAGATAGGCCGGCTCCACGTAAGGCAACCAGAATTCGGCCGTGTGGATTGACGGTAGATATCTTTCTATAAATTGCTGGTGCTTGTGGGCTAAACCTGGCTCGACTCCAGAGGTAGGCCGTCTCCACGTGTTGATGAGCAGAATTTAGCCGGGCATAATCGCAGGGAATTTCTAGTGCTGCTGGCGAAAGGACGATAAACTGCTGATGCTCGTGGTGATAACGTGGCGCGGCTCAAGAGGTAGGCCGTCTCCACGTGGCAACCAGAGTGGGCCAAAAACGAGCACCAGGCGATTTCTTCGAATACCGTTGCGCATTCCTAATAACGTTTACCGATTAGTCTTTGTTTATTGAGGAAGCTTAGATCCCTATGCTTACCTAATTAGTTTTTCGACTATCAGTTGGAGGTTAGGATTGCTGCCAACAGAAATTCAGCCAGCTAAACTTTGGGAATTTGGAAATCTCGTTGTGGTTGTTCTCTTTATTGGGTCTTGTTGGGCGGGTTTTAAGCCCGATGTGTTGCATACATACAAGGTGTGTGTCAAAAGTTTCCGAACTTTTCAAAAAGAAAATAAAACTATAAAATAGTTTGGAATGAAACTTTGCATTTATTCAAAATAGTCTCCCTCCGACTCAATACAACGATTTGCACGATTTAAAAGTGATTCGATTGAGTGTTTTAGCTCGTCAACCGGGATGGCCTTGAGTATGTCGGTCGTCGCCTTTTCAATGGACTTTATGTCATCAAAATATCTTCCTTTCATTGCCAATTTTAATTTTCCGAATAGGAAAAAGTCACACGGAGCTAAATCAGGTGAATATGGTGAGTGGTTGACGGTAAGAATGTGATTTTTTGTTAAAAAATCGGTCACAAGCGTTGATCGATTAGACGGCGCATTATCATGCAACAAGCGCCAACTGCCGTTTTCGCGATATTCTGGGCGTATACGACGAATACGACCGAGCAAACGTTTCATGACACCAAGATAAAATGCTCCAGTGATGGTTTGGCCCGTTGGAACGAATTCCCGATGAACAATTCCCTTCGAATCGTAGAAACAAATCAAGTGAGACTTGATTTTTGACTTTTCGCGGCGTGTTTTTTTGGGTTTCGGCTCATCTGGCTCCTTCCATTCCGCACTCTGACGCTTAGTTTCGGGTTCATATTGAAAACACCACGTCTTGTCACCAGTCACGATGTTGAAAAGAAAATTAGGATCTTTTCGTGCTTCAATAACGACGTCTTTCGAATGCTGAATGCGAAGCGCCTTTTCGTGCTCTTTGAGTGTGTGTGGAACAAACCGTGCACAAACCTTCCGCATACCCAAATGCTCAATTAAAATGCGATGAATAGACTTATAGGATATCTCCAACTCCATTTCCATGTATCTCAACGAAGATTTTGGTTCTTTTTTGACAAAATCACGAACAATTTGAATGTTTTCATCAATAACAGCACTTTTCGGACGGCCCGAACGTTCGTCGTCTTCCAGGCTTTCACGACCATTTTTAAAACGATTAAACCACTCGTAAGTTGAGGTACGGGATAGACAATCATCACCATAAACTTGTTTCATCAATTTATGAGTCTCGGTGAAAGTTTTACCGAGTTTAAAACAAAACTTAATAACCGCTCTTTGCTCTTCGTCGACCAACTAACACAAGGTACTGTCACTTAAAACGCAATAATTCTAATTCCACGGCACCAGAAAATGCCCTGCCAGAAAAGTTCGGAAACTTTTGACACACACCTTGTATGTATATACGAAAGGACTTAGCACTCCCTTTACACAATTCGATTAAAACGCGTGTGCTTTTTCCGAAAGATCAGAAATAAGAGAACGAAAAACGCAAATGTCGGGTGCACGAGTTACCATACCGGTACCATCGACTACGCCACCGCCTAAACCTCCCCGTGCTACCCTCTTTCAACTGGACAGTGACCGGCAGCTAGCCGTTCGTTGTCCCACATAAGAAATGCAACATCACCACAAGGCAGGATGTTGCTAATCGACACCCACTCAGCAGAGCTCTATAAAATACTTTGTTAGCATTTACTTACACACACATACATAATTGTAAAACACATAAAATTCTTTGGCGGAGGTTTGATTTGAATCTCAAGCCCCAATAAAATTATTCCGTTTGGAACAACCAAAGCGAACACATCAACTGTTTATTTAAATCTTATCTGAATATTGGATGACTAACAGCAGCACTAACAATTACATACTATAACTGGCGCAGCCGGACCTATCAGCCGGATGGAGAAAAAGGACACACCATACCCGGAGAACTGAGAAGGACCGAAATGATGAAAACGATTATTTTTATAATTTATATGCAACAGTAAGTTAAAATAGTGATGTGATGGAAGTGAGGTGTGTGGTGTAAATAAAAACAAGAAAGGGTGCACATACATAATAACGATAAAATTGAAAGTCATAAAATGAAACAACAACAAAGAAAATTGGCAAGAATAAATTTAATTAAATAATGTGTTGACTGTGAATCTCGTTGCAACGCAACCTGGCGACTTGCAACGTCATCGACCCATATAGTTCGACGGAGTGAGTTGCGAGTATGACGTTCGAAGGTTCGATGTTGGATGTGAACATCAAACATGCAGCTTGGATACTCTGCAAGTGACTGTCCGCTCGTGGCTGGAATAAATGCATCGCGCAGGAATTCCAGTTAGCTTCAGCACGACGCAAGAAAAATAAAAGAAAGTGTAGAAAAAAAAACATTTTATTAGTTGTTGCCATTAGTACCACTGCATCGCGCAAGGGTATAGAAGTATATGTAAAGAAAAGTAACAAAAAAAAAAAAAAAAACACATACACACTTCCGACACAATACATTCTCAAAAAAAAAAATTATAAAACAAATTGAACAAATGATAATAACAAAATTTTACAGATAAAAGACACCGACACACACCTCACTTCTAAGGAAAATGAATTATAAAGACACATCAGGAAAAAGCTAAGGAAATACATAATACAATATATACATAAGTATAAATATACAATATTTATAAGTAAAGTTATCAAAAAGGCTACTAGTTTGCCAACGATAGTGGAACAATTAAATTTTAAGCCCTCAACTTCTAGAGCAGTACAGAACAGGGAAGCTGATACAATGACGCATCAGGAAAATTTAGGAATGCAACAGGCAACGTTTGAGATGTTAGGCACAGTAAAAATTTTCGATGTGATCCGCTCAATGCATGTTCATATGGGAGAAAAAGAAAGGTTAAACGAGTTTATGTTAAACGCAGAAGAGATCCTTTTAATGATTAGAGGAATGGATCAAACACCTATGGAACTAATGATCCTTAGGCAAATAAGGAATAAAATCCAAGGAAAAGCCGATGACATTTTAGTAAAATCAAATTGTGGATTAAATTGGGATGAAATTAAAAGAATTTTGATAGCCCATTTTGCAGATAAGAGGTCAGAACCCGATTTACTGAGGGAATTAAACCAGTTGGAAAATAAAAGACTAACAGAAGAATTATTTTATTCGGAGGTATCTGATGTGCATAAGGCATTGTGTAATGTTATAGACAGGACAGATACAAACCCCATCGCAATTCAGGCAAAGAAGAAATTATATGAGGAAACGAGTCTGGAGGCGAGATAGCGATTAAAGAGAGAGACATTTATTACCGGTCTAAAGAGGTACCCAGGAACAATAATTTCAGTACTGCAGGAGGATATAACAGGCAGAACTTTGGTTATAATAGAAACAGAGGGTACAATAATAACTTTAACAGAGATAATGGAGGATATAGGCAACAAGCAGGAACCTCACGTGGAATAGGGAAGAAAACAGGAATAGAGGATATGACGATCAGTCGACCTCTAATTCTTCAGGGTATAATAGAAGGGCAATTATGCCAAAACAAGAAATTGCAGAATATTCATCAACTGAACCTAGAAGTGCCAAACGATGGCAGTCAGGGCAATTAAATATAGTAGAGAGAGAAGAGGAGCAAGAGTTGAATAACATTGATGACGAAGGAAATTTTCGTCAAAATGCCTCCAAAAACAAACAGGGTATATAAGGAAGGATACCCATCAGGCGACATTACCATACGTGGTAGTTAAAGGAAAGAACGAAAAAGAACTCAAATTATTAATAGACTCGGGAGCTACGAATTCATATTTAAATCCTGCAATAGTTAGAAAAGATCAACAGCAAAAATTGGAAGAAAACTTTGTTATCAAAACACCAATAGGAAGCCATAAAATAAACAGTTATGTAAAAGATATTGAGCTGCAGGAAATCGCAAAAGGGGAATCGTTTGATTTCTTTTTATTTCATTTTCATTCCTGGTTTGATGGATTATTGGGAATGGACATATTAATTAAGTTAGGTGCAAGTTTAGATTTAGAAAATCTCGTATTAAGAACTAAGACAGGGACAGTTAAAGTCCATTTGAAGCCCAATAGGGCCACTGACATACATTTCCTGGAGGAGGCGACTAAAACAATTTTCACCTTACCAGTTTCAATAAACAATGGCCGACCTGGAAGTTGTTAATTTCACAGGGAAAGAAAAGAAATTATACCTGGAAAAACCTTTGGCTGTCACTGCATATGATTCCAAAGATTATGTAGAAATCGAAATGCTAAGACCATTTAAACAGGAGTATGTAAGCAGGGAAATGAACACAATGGAATTAGCCGGGGGTGATGCAAGGCACGCAAAATTGGATATGTCGCATCTAAATACAGAAGGGGCGGCAAGCCTTAAAAAACTGTATTCGGAATTTCCAAGTATTTTTCACACAAAGGGAAATCAGTTGACATTTACCAATGCGGTAACTCACTCAATTCCAACAACGGATGATATTCCTATCTATAAAAAGCCATACAGATATGGATTTAAACAAAAAGAAGAAATGAAGAATCAGATACAGGAGTTGTTAAAACAGGAAGTTATTAGGCACAGTCACTCACCTTGGAGTGCACCAGTTTGGCTAGTACCAAAGAAGATGGACCTATCAGGAAAACAAAAGTGGAGATTGGTGGTCGATTTTAGGAAGTTGAATGAGAAGACAGTGAAGGATAGGTATCCGATGCCAGTAATTGGCGAAGTACTTGATAAACTGGGAAAGGCCATGTATTTCTCGGTATTAGATTTGGCTAGCGGGTACCATCAGATTGAGATGGAAAAATAGGACATTCCAAAAACTGCATTTTCAACAGATAACGGGCATTTTGAATATATAAGGATGCCATTTGGACTGACAAATGCTCCGGCGACGTTTCAAAGAGTGATGAATAACCTGATGGGAGAGTTGGTAGGCAAGATTTGTCTGGTCTACATGGATGATATAATTGTGTATTCCCCGTCCTTACAAAGTCACATGCAAGACTTGAGGACAGTTTTTAAAAGAATAAATGGAGCAAATTTTAAACTTCAAACAGATAAGTCAGAATTTTTAAAGAAGGAGATAGAGTATTTAGGGCATGTAGTGACACAAGAAGGAGTCAGACCAAACCCAAAGAAGATTGCGGCCATAAAGCTTTTTCCTTTGCCCAAAACACCAAAGGAAATAAAGTCATTTCTTGGACTCATTGGGTATTACAGGAAATTCATAAAAGATTTTGCAAGAATAACCAAACCATTAACTAAGAGACTAAAAGGGAAACAACAAATAATCATAGATGAGGAATATACAAAAACCTTTGAATATTGCAAGACGTTGTTATGCAATGATCCATTGTTGAGATATCCAGATTTTACTAAGCCTTTTATTTTGACCACAGATGCTAGCAATTTTGCTATTGGTGCGGTGTTATCACAAGGAGCAATGGGAAGTGATCGGTCACAAATTCACAATAGTCACAGATCACCGCCCATTAACTTGGCTAATGGGATTTAAAGAACCCAATTCTAAGTTGGTGAGGTGGAAGCTGCAACTATTGGAATATGACTACGAGGTGACCTACAAAAAGGGCTCACAAAACGTCGTGGCAGACGTATTGAGCAGAATCGAACTACAAGTTCACAACAGTGAACTGGAGTCAACTCAGGCCACTTGTGCGGGTCATACAGGTGAACTGGAATTAAGTAGCATTCATGTGGCAGAAAAGCCACTGAATGACTTTAATATCCAGTTAATATTTGAGGTTGGGCCGACACCAGGCAGAACAGTGGTGACACCTTTTAGGAACAAGATAAGAAGGACAATAACAGAAAAGGAGTTTACAAAAGAGGAAATTGCAAAAATTCTTAGGGAAGTGCTTAAACCGTACAGGATGTGTGCGATATACACGTCAGATGAAGTCTTTAAAAAGGTAGAAGAAGCGTTTCAGAATTATTTTTGCAAGAGCAAACTGTATAAAGCAGTACGATGTCTTACCTTCATGCGGGAAATAACAGATATTAGTGAACAAAGAAAAGAAATAGAAAGGTATCATACCTCAGGTAATCATAGGGGAATAGATGAAACGTTTTGGAAGATGAGACGTGACATTTATTTTCCATTTATGAAAAACCGAGTAACACAGGTCATTAATGCGTGTGAAACTTGCCAGACATTGAAATATGATCGGCAACCGCAAAAGGTGGTATTTCAAAATACGGAAACCCCGTGCAAGCCACTTGACATCGTTCATACGGATTTATACACAATCAACAAAAACTACGTAATAACAATAATAGACAAGTTTTCAAGGATTGCCGTGGGGTACACCATACCGGCAAGAAATAGTTTAAATATTGTTAAATCAATGAAGAAGTTCATAAGTCAGTACGGTGTTCCTAAAAAGATCATATGTGACCAAGGCGCAGAATATGCCTCGGCATTATTCAGGGATTTCTGTAAGCAGTACGGAATTGAATTGCATGTGACGTCGTTTCAACAATCGTTCAGCAATTCACCGGTTGAAAGGCTTCATTCAACACTGACAGAAATTTATAGAATAATTATGAAAACAAGGAAGGACTTAAAACTAGAAAATGAGCATGAGGAAGTTTTAGATGAAGTTTTCCTAACTTATAATAACTCAATACACTCCAGTACGAAGTTGAAGCCGTTCGAATTGTTCTCGGGGAGAACACACTTTTTTGAACGGGAAATCAATTTTGATACGGAGCATGAGTATTTAAGGAAGTTAAATGCTTATCAGGAGGAAATGTATAAGGAGGTTAAGGACAAGTTGGAAAAACAAAAACAGGAAAGGACGCGAAAACTCAATGAGGGAAGAGAAGAACCCATGGAGTTGGAAAAAGTGGATGTAGTTTATAGGAAGGAGAATAGAAGAAATAAGCTAACACCTAAGTTTACGGAGCACACAGTAGATGAGGATAATGGGGTTACATTCGTTACAAAAAGGAAACAAAAGATACATAAATCAAAAAATACATAAATCAAAAATTAAAAAAAGAATTAAACAAAATAAAAACTAATCAATCACGGTTACAGGTGCATATTGGTCCATGGACAGACAATGGACGTGCAAACACTAAAACGAGAAGAAGCGATCGTAAAAATGGAACTGGGAAAAGCAAGAGTAATGGTCGGAGCGAAGACGTTCGACCATATAATAAACTTTAAAGACTACGAAGGTAATATTGCACAGATTGAAAACGCGTTGTTAGACATAGAGAATGTTAGATTCTCAGGTGAGGCAGTCCAGGTGGTTAAGGAAAAATTGTACCAGGTGAAGGAGAAGCTAGAAATACTTAGACCAAGAAGTAGGGTCAAAAGAGGAATTTGTAATCGGGTTAGGAAGCATGATAAAAATAGTTTCGGGAAATATGGACGCGTACGATGAGGAGAAAATAGGAAATAGATTAAAAGAATTAAGAAACGAAACAAGGTTTCTTACACAAGAAGCGGACGGGCAAAGAACCTTTTATCAGGAAACCTTGAGTAGGTTTACGAAAATTACTAAGCATATAAATAAGGAGCAGGAAGATATAAATTTGTTTATAAAAAATTATAAGAATAACGTAGTTAAGGAACTAACACAAGAGCACAATGAAATACATATGCTCCAGCATTTGAATAGGATAAGTTACAGTATTGATTTGTTAGCAATGCACTTCAACAAAATTGCGGAGAGCATATTATTAGCAAAACTTCGCATTGTGCCTAAATTCATTTTAGCAGAGACAGAATTAGATAGAATTATACGGTTTGTCGAGAGTCAAGGGCTCAAAATTGCTTCAAATGAACAAGTATATGAACTAATAAATATACAGGCACAAATAAATGAAACAGACATAATATTTAGGGTAAGAGCTCCAATTTTTGAGCCAAATGTCTATCAATTACATCATGTTATACCAATTCCAATTAATGGGACACATTTATTAGTAATACCAAATTATGTAGCAATTAATAAGTATAAAATAAGCTTTTTTAACAACCAATGTTCAAAAGTTCATGAAACTTTTATTTGCGAGAGTGAAGAGTTGGGTGTTGAGATAAAAGGAAAGGAGTGCTTGAGGAAGATTTTAACGAACAAACCACCAATATGCGATTCAGTAAATCTAGAGGGGAGAGAAATGGTTTTGGCACCTGAGGATGGACACATATTCATTTTCAACGCCTTGAACTTACCTGTAAACAACACATGTGGAGAAGATATTACAGTATCGGGGGCATTAGCAAACTGTTCGATCGAAATAAATGTCATAAAGTATGATGGCCAAGTTATGGAACATAAAGAGGACCATATAGTACTTAACACTGCAATAAGTAAACAGATACTTATAAATAACACCAAGCAGGAGTTAAACCTAGAAGTTTTACATCTCGAAGATATGAGAAACCTCAAAAAAGTAGTGTACATAGGAAAAGT